TGCAAATCTTTTCGATAGATGCTAATCGCGATTTAATTATGAGTTGCTTGATATTTAGTGACTTTAATGTTTTTGATGATTCCATTTTGACACATATTATATTGAACTCTAATTATTAAATGTGGAGAGACAGATAGGAAGGGAATGCTTGACTAACCTGATTCACTCGCTGCTTGCTTCGCTCGTTCGTTGGTGTAGCGCCAAAGTTAGAACTTCCTGTCTTGTTTAGAACTTCCACTTTATTTAATTTTTGATTTTTGATTAAATGTTTTAATTATTCCTTCGCACTGGCGATCACATCCGGCTCGAAGGACCAATGTTTTTTGTTGAAGTATAAGCTGAAGGACCAGATAGAATTAGTGGCTCTATCAACCGTTTTAAAATGTAAATATTGATTGATAACAAGTAGATTTACACTTATTTATTTATAGAATATAATTTACACTGTTTGTATGATATAGTTTTGTATTGATATAATATTGGAATATTTGTATGTTGATAGCTTGGCGACCGAGTCTAGACTATGTTAATAGTTTCGCGACTGGATTTAGACTATATTGTTAGGGCCGGCTTCAGGTATCTAGAGGGCAACTTAATTGCCGATCTTGGGTCGCAAATGTCCATGCATCGTTGGAAGATGCAAATCTCTTACGCTAAAATTAATGCGACGTTGTCACGTCTATTTTGGCGTAAACACACATTTACATAATTTTGTAGCAATTTTCACCTGTATTTTATTAATACTTCATTATTGTTTTAATATTTATTTTTAACAACCTTTTTATTTAAATTTATTCATTTAAATGTTTGTATACAAACTGCGCATCAGTACTGACCAGTTCACAACTCGTATATGGTAAGACGAATGTCAGGTCGATATTAAACAACCGAGAACGAATTAATTGTACAAGTCCGTCATGTAATAATAAATATATATGACCATGAATCCTTTGTGAGTCTGCGTGTTTTAATATATCCAAATTTTAGCGTTGTCATGCTATGACTAGAAAAACGAATACAATTATGCTATCTGCTACAAAAATGGTAATGATTATGTTAACGAAGGTCAAAAAGAGATAAATGTGCGAGTCAAGTTAATTTTGGTATCGTACTTTACTAATTATTATTATTATGATTACTAATTATTATTATTATGATTGGTGCTTTGACCAAAGGCAGATACTAAAGGCAGTGCATTAGAGTACCTCATTTTCTTTTTGTTTGTATTTAAATTTTTAGTTCCGGAACTTCTGATTTGATGTTTCTGTATCCTGTTCTTAGTCATTTAATACCCTGTGTTTTCTCTTCTCGGGTAAGTCATCTACATTACTTATCGTCCAGGAGCATTTAGTTTCTCTAGTTTACCTTCGATAAAGTCTGGGGCATTTTCCTAATATGAGTTCGTGACAGTTTCGATTTTTATAATCATATCTAGTAGTGTTTTTTTTTCTTTCAGACTTTTTGCAGTATTTCTCCATTTATCACTTTTTTCGTCCGTGTTCCTTTTTAATTTTTCTTCAGTAATATATTATCAAACTATGTTTCAAATGTATCGTTTTAACACTCAATAGATATTTTTTTAACATTAGTCGACATATTATATATTTTCTTTATTATCTTCCCGTCGGGTAAGTTATAGTAATCGCAAAAAATCGAAAATTAAAATTTTTATATATCTTTACGTTACGAAGGTGTCTGAACATTTACACACCTTAGAAAGAATGGATTGTGTGTGTGTGTGTGTGTGTGCGTGTGTGCGCGCGTGTTGTGTGTATGTATGTGCGGATACAATTTCTTGTCGACAATTTCAAGAACACGGATCAACGAATTTGAGTGATTCAAAACACATTCGATTCCTATTAATAAGGAAACATGATGATTACTTTTTGACAAAGGCAGGTTCAGCCGTTCCGAAGAAACGGGGCAAAAAGTGCCAATAATGGTAATTCAAGTTTTGAGAGAACCGAGCGTCCGATTTGAATGATTAAAAAAAACATTTTATTTGTATTGACGAAATGAAAATCTGATGTCCATAGTTTTTGGCAAGGCAGGTCTAGCGGTTTCGGAGATCCAATAAAAAAGTCAAAAAAATGCCAAATGATCATTGGACATATGCACATCTGATATCAGATATTTTATAGATATTTTAATGATAAGAACAAATTTTGTTTACACTTCTATGGAATCCGTACCAATGTTTATCCATTGCACTGCCGACGCGCTTCGATTGTTTAACGTATCGCGATTGCTTTGAAAAAAAGTTCAAAATTTCCAAAATATTTCGAAGTATGAAAAAAATCAAATTTTTCAAAAGGTCAATTTAAAAAACAAAAATTAAAAATCTCAAAAATCGATTATTCAGAGCTCTAAAAGAAAATTGTTTTTTTTTTTAAATATATTAATTTTGGGTACGGGAAGTTCCAGCGATTTGCCTTAAGGCACGATGTCATGCACCACTAGTCTTTCTGAATCGTTTGACACTAAAATTGTAAAAGGTATGTGTCTATATGAATGTGCATGTGACACAATGTTTGACATTTGTTGCATATTTTCTCAAAAACAGCTGCACAGATTTTGAAGATTTAAAAATCGTTAGATAAAATTCAATAAGGTCTGGTGTTTTAATTTTTTTTTTTACCATCGTACTTTTTTATAGTTCATGAGTGTCATTTTTTTTTCATCATCGTTTTCGCCAATAATCCTGAACTAATTTAGAAATTTATGAACTGTTTTAAGGATTGAATCCTGGAATCCTTCTGATTAGTTGTTGATAAAGATAGAGTCAGAAAAATAAGTATATTATCAACTTTTCGTAGGGTAGTTATAGTAATGGGTCGAAAATCGAAAATGTAAATTTTTGCATTTCTCGACGTTTTGAATTTTCTGAATATTTTGGTATACCTCAGAAAAAATGGCTGTGCGTGTGTGTGTTTTGTATGTCCGCATTTTTTCGTTCACGCACGGATCAACCGATTGGAATGGTTAAAAAAACATTCGATTCTTATTGATATGGAGATGTGCTGATTAGTTTTTGCAAAGGCAGGTCCGTTACGGAGATACGGAGCCAAGAGTGCAGATAATACAAATCGATTTTTTAAGAGAACGGAGTATCCGATTTGAATTTTGGCAAAGGCAGGTCCAGCCATTTCAAAGATACAGAGCTGAATGTGCTTTCACATTACATGAACTTCCCGATATGTGTAATTAATCGACTTATTCAATAAATAAATTAATTCATGAGTGATTTAAAGTATTTCTAATAGATTTATTACACATCATTGAAAACGAATGAACACGTTAACTCGGAGTAATTCCTAAAAGCAAATTTTCAAAAATCAATAATTTTTGTAATTGAACCAGTTTCCTAGGACTTTAATGGTTTAATATGTTCATTAAGACCATGTACTCTATCGTTATACCAAGTAAACCGTCTAATTTTATCAAACGTCAAAAAAACTACTCATTTTCTCAAACTTTGATGAATCTTTAAATTAAACTACTTGTTGTAAGGCCGTAATATTTCAATAAGTTGTATAAGACCATGATATATATCATCAAAAAAAGTTTCATAGAAATCGGCTCAATTTTTTTTTCAACAACGAATTACAAGTAAACGGCTTGGTAGATTTTCACCTAAAACTAATCAGTATCATTATCAACTAATATCTTTCGAACAGTTTTTAATTTTTTAAAATCGATTGGGTAGAATGAGCTTATATGTAGACGTAAAGTTTAACAAATTTCAAAGGAACTGCTTGGCCGATCGTCGCATAAAACTGACAAGCGATAGTCCTCATTGAGACACATCAAATAATTTAAATTTTTGAAATCGGTTTAGGCGTTTTTGAGCAGACGTGGATGTAAGGTCTAATTTTGACAAATGCCAAAAAAACGATACTAATTTTTGCAAACTTTGACAAATTTTTAAATCTAAACGATTTTATTTCATTTTAGCATGATCTAGAAGACTATGGTATCTACCGTCAGAAAAATAATAATAAAAGTCGTCGAAAAAAAAATTTAAGACATTATTACAAGAAAACGGCTCGGCCGATCTCTACCAAAACCTCATTAGCACGATTCCGAACCAATATCTTTCGATCGGTTTTTGAATTTTTAAAATCGATTCAAACTGCGGGCTAAAACGTGGACGAAAAATTCTTCACTTTACGTTATTTACAAAGAAACGGCTTGGCTGATCGTCGCGCAAAATTGATAAACGCTAGTTCTCATCGCGATACATCGAATGATTTTTAAAGTTTTGAAATCGCTCCAGCCATTTTTAATGAAACGTCGATTTACGGCAATAAATCTGTTCATACACACACACACATATACTTTTTCCAAATTTGATCTCATTCGATTCAGAATGGCTTGAAACGTCGAGAAAACATAAAATTAGCGAATCGGATTTTTTGATGAAAACATAAACTTCTCCTTCGGGAAGTTAATAATGAATATTCAAATTAAACATCTTATAAAAGTTTAAATTGTTTCTACTTGTGAGTTTAGGTACTCGAGCAGGTTTTTTCTTTGAGCCATTGTTAAATTTCAGTCCTTCACGCCAGCGGAAGTTATGTAACGATTTTGTTCTTCCTCAATGCAATATTTTGTATTATTGTTTTTATTTTTGCAATTTTGTAATCGCTAAAAAATGAAAATGAATTTTTTTGTATATATGCACTTTCAGAGGTTTTAGAACTTTTAAAGCTTAAAAAAACAAAATTTTCAAAAAAAATTAAAGCATTTAATAAATTTTAATTATGTTGCAGAAAGTTTCAACAATTTGCCTTAATTTGTTTTATTTCAACTTTGATCTAGCGAAAAGTGATGCCACTACTGTTTTATATGTGGAAGCTATGTGAAAGCCCCTATAAATCAAATGATACTACTTTTTTATACTAACAATAAAATTTTGTTTTTAATGTTAAAAATATTTCTAAGAATAATATTAAACTCGAACATTATTTTACATACGATTTGGTGTGATATCTGTTTGTTTCATATAAAAGTTTGCAGGAAATCAAAGAAACTAAAATATTTTAAAAATGAAAATATTTTAGTTATAAATATTTATATAATAGAAAATAATTATCATAATAAATTTCATGCCAGTTGCACCTAATTTCTCATTTTCCGTGGCTTCAACTTCATCCAAAAGCCTTTCTCGGGTCTCATTTGAATTGAATTTCTTGACAGTTTTAATGGAATTTGAGTTTTTTCGGAAGGTACGATGTCGAATTCTTTTAAAATATTGAAGAGTAACGCTTTCATTTCCATAAGAGCAAATCTTGATCCTGTAAAACAAAAATTGATATATTAGAAGTATTTTATACAAAATGACAAACAGCTCGGGCGTAACGCAATTTTCGTTGTATTTGTACAGATTTACTCCCTAGTCGCGCCTAAAGAAGTTTTATTAAAACAAATTGTACAATTTGGTTTTTCTTATTGAGCGAAGTAAGTGAAGCGTTGAAATAAAACCATGGTCTATAAAAAATTAAATAATTTTACTATTAGTTTAATTATGAAATACTAATTTTAATTTTAACATTAGTAGAATAATAAAATTTCCTTATCTATTAATAAAATATTCCTAATTATTTGACCTTTAATATTTTTGGTCGGATAGAGACGAAGTGATTATAAATGACATATATAATTTTAATATGTAAGTGATATATTATAATAATAGCTATATTATTATTGGTACCTATGCAATTTCTAGGTCCAACTCCAAAAGGCATGTATGTGAAAGGTTTTATATTTTGTTTGTTTTCCTCACTGAATCTGTCTGGATCAAATTTATGCGGATTTTCATAATATTGTTCATCGTGATGTATGTTGTATATTGGAATCATTAGAGCTTCTCCTTTTTCACCTGTAAATGATCATAGTGTTGATATATTTTTCATAAAATATTCTTGTTATCAAATGAATTCATCAACCTCAAATTTATTTCCGTCGTAATCCTCCAAAGTGTATCCATTATTGCAAACTCTGTCAGTGAATGGTGCTGCTGGCCATTTTCTTAAACCCTATAAAATAGATATTCATAACTTTATGAATTGAAACCAATGAGTCAAAATTAAAATTTATTACCTGATATGACCATATCCAAGTATTTCATCTTATGCAATCTTTCATAATCTACTAGTTTTTGATTGGATTGTTCCAATTCAACGCAAACTGCATCTATTTCATCTTGCAGAGTTTTTTGAACATCTGGATTTATTGCTAATTCGTATGCAACAAAGCAGATTGATGTAGAAATTGATTCGAAACCAGCCAAAAAGAAGATCATTGCTTGCCCAGTAATCTCATCATCTGACCAAACTGAAATTTTTAACTCATCAAGTGACAGGTTTATGTCGGAACTTAGAAGTTAAGTTAAGTCATAGCCATTTATAAATGAAGTATGTATGTAATCTCACCAACCTCTTTTATGGGTAGATGATTTGGTGATTGAAGATTCAGTAACAGTGGCAAAACCTGAAGATTCATCTACATCAACTTCATGCTTCAAACCTCCTATTTTGGCTTGCATAAGCAAATTAATCATATCAGGACGAACAATTCCTTTCTTTTCTCTTTCATCCATAGTATCGTGCACCAAAGTGCGAAAGAATTTACCACAATCTTGATCCAGTAAAGTTATTCTGAGAACCTAAATATAAAATTTGTTAAACACAATTCCTTCGGTATTAGAAGGTTTGATGTTTAGAAATATGTTGCTTACCCTCATGATGTGAGGTATCAGCAAGAAAGCAAAAAATTTCAAGCTGACCCAAAATCCAGAAAAATTGCTAACTTTTCTTCCCATTTTGTAAAATATATTATCAGGATTTTTTAAAGTGTCTACCTTAATTCCAAATGCAGATGAAGCAGATGAAGCTATTACATCATTTGCATACTTTGTAACGAGATCTTTCACTTCTAGATCCAAAGTACCTGAGAAAAAAACTGCTATTTAGGAACATGGATATCCTAAGTGTAAATGGTATTTTGCCTTAAGGAATAAGACTATCTAGGTGTAAAGGGAATTTTGCCTATAGGAAAGATGCATGAATTCTACGATATGTGTAAATAATCGACTTAAGCAATAATTGAAAATTGAATTTAGCAATATTTGAAATTGTGATGATATAATTTTGAAATTTATGTCAATAATTAGTCAAAATGTCATGTATTTGTTGTGCATTCAAGCGTTTTATACATAAACTGCATCGTCACTTGTATGTTATGAAGCTGGGTCAGAAAGACCCTGATTCTAATACAATCTCCGTAATTGAAAAGAAATTGATGAATTTAGGTTGTTACCTTTTTTCTCAACTTCCTCATGTGAATGATCAGTCAGTTGTTCTGCGCACTCAATAATAAATTCGTACATGAGTCGCATCTTGCTCCCAGTAAAAGCTGGACTGAGGGTAGATCGCATGTCGCGCCATTTCTGATCTATAAAAAATATTTTTATATATTGCTTAAACTAAATTCAAAGTAGTTGAATAATTAAATGCAAACTTAAGTATATTCAAAATAGTTGTATGTTGTACCTTTTAGAAGAAAAAGGCTGCTTCCGAATAGTGGTTCTAGAGCAGGGTCGACAAATGGTCTATGATTTGTGAAACTATCAAAATCTTTAACAGCCACCTGACGAATGAGTTCTGGATCTCGTATCATGATTGATGGTAAGCGCATTTGAAAGATTCCTACAAATCTATAAAAACAATCATTTCCAAATAATATTTCTTATCATCATGAGGATTAGGGAATGCAATACCGGTATACCGGTAAACCGCCCGATTTTTCGGCGGTAATTTTACCGGTATTTACCCCAAAAATATCGGTATTTTCGGTATTTTTACATAAGCGCTATTTGATACAAAATACACTAAAGTTTAAATTTCTCGGAACAAATGTATCCTTAAATTCCATAATCGCATAAACAGCTATATCTTCAAGTGATTCTATAGGATAAACAAATGTCAAATATTATCTCAACTCGTCATTAAATTGAATATTTATTGCTTTACTAAGGGCTTTAATAGAATTGGACTGATAGATAATGGTGTTTGTTTCATCTTTTTTTGTAAAAATTTAACGGTTTTTTAAATGATATTTGCGTCAAAATATTTTATATCATACAGATTACCTCTGCGTAATCTTTATTTTTTTCTAACTTTATACATAATAATTATGATAATATCTTATTATTGTGATAAGCATCACAATGTGATAAATAATAATACTCAACAATTATAGTAACTTATTATTTATCTTGACAAAGTATCCGATCTTAAATTAGTGTAGAAAATTATTTTTTAAAAAATATTGGAGATTATACTAATTAACTTCCCGTAGGGTAAGTTATAGTAATCGCAAAAAAATCGAAAATGAAAATTTTTATATATCTTTACGTTTCAGAGGTTTCTGAACATTTTGGCATACCTTAGAAAAAATGGATGTATGTGTGTGTGTGTGTGGGTGTGTGTGTGTGTGCGTGTGTGTATGTATGTGCGGATACAAATTTTCGTCGACGATTTCGGGAACACGGATCAACCGATTTGAATAATTCAAAAAACATTCGATTCGTATTGATAAGGAGACGTGCTGATTAGTTTTTGGCGAAGGCAGGTCTAGCCGTTTCGGAAATACGGGGCAAAAAGTACCGGAAACGGTAACTCAGTTTTTAAGAGAACGGAGCGTCCGATTTTAATAATTCAAAAAACATTTTACTTGTATTGACAAGATAAAGAATTTATCAAATTTTCATAAAGGCAGGTCTAGCGGTTTCGGAGATCTAACGAAAAAAGTAAAAAAAAAAGCCATTTGGCGGTCAAAAATGATCATTAGACATATGCACATAAAATTTTTAGATATTTTATAGAGATTTTAACAATAAGTATAAATTTTGTTTATTTTCCTATGGGTTCCGTATCAATGTTTACCCGTTAGACAGCGACGCCGCGCATACGCGCTTTATATTTTGTCTCTATGCAGTTAAAGCAGTGCGATTGCTTTGAAAAATTAAAAAAAAAAAAATTTAAAAGAAAAAGTAATTTTTTGTCCAATTTATAGTTTGTCAAAAATCTTATTTTTTCGAAGTAAATTTTTTTCAAAAATGTTAATCGTTTTTAAAAAAAATAATAATTTTTGGTACGGGAAGTTCCAGCAATTTGCCTTAAGGCACGATGCCCTAATTGCCTTAAGACAGAATTCCACTTACAGCTAGTTTAATAACACATCGGATACAGACAATACAGTTTATTATAATAATGTAATATGATTTTTTATAAGTTTTTGGTCTTTCTTACTCATAAGTTCGTTTTTGGTGAAAAGTACTCAATATAGTGACAATGAATTAATTAAATTGGATATAATTTTGTTAAATTATTAGTTAAAAAATAAACTTATTGTTTTTATTGTTTAGTTGAATATAGTTGTAGTTGTATATACATTTTTTTATATTTGTACTAGTAACTTTCAATTTTGTTTACGTTTGTGTAAGGTAATAAAAATACCTGTAATTTACCGGTACTCCGGTTTTAAAATGAAAAATTACCGAAATACCGGTATTGAAATTTTCCATCGGTATTGCATTCCCTAATGAGGATAATTCAGTAATTGTTGTGCAATCTTATTGTATAGGTCAGGACTTCTTAAACTATGGGTCGCGAGAGTTTTCAATTAGTGCCTTCTATCTCCAACTTATCATTTTTTATTTTCTATTTTTTTTACTAGTTCATACCTGGCCCGAGGGAATTTTGTATATGGTTTTCCTATACTTTCAATCATATCTTCTTGTTTTAACAAAAATTTCAAAGAATTGCCTATGAGGGCCACTGGCTTCATGTAAGGAACATTGGTTCCTTTAAATCTGTCGAAGGTCCATGTAGCATATTTGTAGAAGACCCATAACAGAAAGGCCCCTAGTGAAAGTAAGCCCCACATGTTGCTGTAAATGAAACATCATTACATTAATAACTTGTAAAATTATTAAATTAATTGCAATAATGTCACAATTATTAAACATGCTAAATTTCGATATTTGTCTCAATGCAAAATGTGCAAATATCTCAATATTATATTCGCTTAAGGACTCCTGAACATTTTGGCATACCTCAGAAAGAAATGGATGTATGGGTGTTGTGTATGTGAGTGTGTTTTTGGGTGTGAATATATATTTGGATACAATTTTTCGTTCACGATTTCAAGAGTACAGATCGACTGGTTTGAATGATTCAAAAAATATTTTATTTGGTTTTAAAATTATTAATTGAGAAAAAAGAAAAAAATGGCAAAGTTGGTAATTGAACATATGCGTATCAAATTATCAGATATTTAATAGAGATTTTAAATTATTGAAGCACAGGTTTTGTTTTCATATATATGGATTCACTGATATAGTTTATATAGTATAGATCAAGTGACTTGAATGGCTCAAACAACATTTTGAGAAAATTTGAAGAACTAGTTGTGTATGGAACTAGTTGTGCTCCTCGTGCCTTGAGGCAAATTGATCGAACTTTCCGTACCAAAAAGTATTTTTTTAAACAAAATTATTAAACGTTGAGAAAATTCGATTTTTGAGAAATTTTACATTTTTTAAATAAAGTTATTAAAGACTTTTTTAACTTCCCGAAGGAGAAGTTTATGTTTTCATCAAAAAATCCGATTCGCTAATTTTATGTTTTCTCGACGTTTCAAGCCATTCTGAATCGAATGAGACCAAATTTGGAAAAAGTATGTGTGTGTGTGTGTGTGTGTGTGAACAGATTTTTTGCCGTAAATCGACGTTTTCTCCAAAACGGCTGGACCGATTTCAAAAATTTAAAAGCCATTCGATGTATCTCGATGAGGACTATCGTTTCTGAGTTTGTGCGGCGATCGGCCGGGCCGTTTCTTTGTAAATTGCAGAAAAGTGAAAAAATTTTCGTCCACGTTTTAGCCCGCAATTCTGAATCGATTCTGAAAATTCAAAAACCATTCGATAGATATTGGTTGGGAATCGTGCTGATTAGTTTTTGGTAAAGATCGGCCGGGCCGTTTTTTTGTAATAACGTTTTTAAAAAAAAAAATTCGACGATTTTTATGATTTTTTTTTTGACGGTAGATACCATAGCTTTCTAGGTCATACTAAAATATTACGGCCCTGCGACAACTCGTTTAGCTTTAAAAATTCGTCAAAGTTTGCAAAAATTGGTATAGTTTTTTTGACATTTGTCAAAATTAGACTTTTGATCGACGTTATCTCAAAAGCGCCTGAATCGATTTCAGAAATTTAAAAGCCATTTGATGTATTTCGGTGAGGACTACTATTTGTCAGTTTTGTGCGACGATCTGCCAAGCCGTTTCTTTGTAATTTGAAAAAAAGTGTTAAACTTTTCGTCCACATTTAAGCTCATCCTACCGAACCGATTTTAAAAAATTAAAAACTGTTCGAAAGATATTAGTTGGGAATAATACTGATTAGTTTTGGGTGAAAATCTACCGAGCCGTTTTCTTGTAATTAACTGTTGAAAAAAAAAATTTAAGCCGATTTTTATGGAATTTTTTTTAGCGATATATACCATGGTCTTATAGAACTTACTGAAATATTATGGCCTTACGACAAATAGTTTGATTTTAAAAATTCATCAAAGTTTGAGAAAATGAGTAGCTCTTTTGACATTTGTTAAAATTAAAATTAGACTATTTACTTGGTATAATGATAGCTATCAGATATCAGAGTACTTGGTCTTGAACATAATAAACCATTGAAGTCCTGAAAACTGGTTCAACTATAAAAATTATTGATTTTTGATAAACTCTGAGTCAAAGTGTTCGTTCGTTTTCAATTATGTGTAATAAATCCACTCGGAATACTTTTAATGACTCATAAATTAATTTATTTTTTATTGATTAAGTCGATTATTTAAATATATCGGGAAGTTCATGTAACTTGCCTCAAGGCTAAATACCAAACCAACTAGTTGGAAAATAAACTTTCAATTTTGAAATATTTTGAAAATTTTGAATAAAAAAAATCGAAAATGAACATATTTATATATCTTTACGTTTCAAAGGTTTCTGAACATCTTTTAAAAAATTGATGTATATGTATGTGTGTGTGTGTTCGGATACAAATTTTCGTCGACGATTTTGTGAACACGGTTCAACCGATTTCAGTAGTTCAAAAATCATTCGATTTCTATTGATAAGGAGACGTGCTGATTAGTTTTTGGCAAAGGCAGGTCGAGCCGTTTCGAAGATTTTGGCAAAAAGTGCCAAAAACGGTAACTCAGTTTTTAAGAGAACGATTTTAATAATTCAAAAAACATTCTACTTCTATTGACAAGATAAAGAACTGATTAAATTGTTGACCATTTGGCGGTCAAAGACATATGCACATCAAATTATCAGATATTTTATAGAGATTTTAACAATCAGTATACATTTTGTTTACATTTCTATGGGTTCCGTAACATTGTTTGTCCGTTAGACTGCGACGCAGCGCTTACGCGCTCCGATATTTCTATGGGTTCCGTAACATTGTTTGTCCGTTAGACTGCGACGCAGCGCTTACGCGCTCCGATATTTCGTTTCTATGCAGCTAAAGTAGCGCGTGTGCTTTGAAAAAAAGTTCAAAGTTTCCAAAATATATTCACAATAGGAAAAAAAATTATTTCAAAAAAGTCAATTTTTTTAAAACATTTAAAAATTCTCAAAAATCAAATTTTTTGAAAGTTTTAAAAAAAATATTCTTTTTTTAAAAAAATATATTTTTGGTCCGGAAAGTTCCAGCAATTTGCCTTAAGGAACGATGCCATATACACCACTAAATATCAATTTTTATTGATTATTGATTTTTTTACAATGTTTAACAACGGTATGTGAAGTTCCAGCAATTTGCCCCAAAACACGATGCCATTCACCACTAGTTTATTAAAGCAAATACATATATGGAACATATGTATAATTAACTAAAACAAGTATAATTAACTAAAAAAAAATTTAATTACCTTACAAAAAAAAGTTTTACTGATTATATATTAATTTATTAGTGGTATACACAATTACTACGTTGCTTGAAAATTTGCACGCGTATATATACAACATTCAAAAATTTTACATGATAACTAAATAAAGATAAAAATTCTTATCGACTGATTGCTGGAAAACATTATCGATTATCAAATTTGTATTTTATTTGTAATTGCTAAGATGAGTTTTGTTTTTACTCATCTCACAAGACAATATTTATAAAATGCTTATTCATGGCACATCGGCAATTACAAGCTGTAATTATATCATTAAAATATTTTAATGTAAAAACGAGAATTTATTTCTAGTTGATTTAATTATATATTCAGTAATTAATTTCCCGAAGGAGAAGTTTATGTTTTCATAAAAAAACGATTCTCTAATTTTATGTTTTCTCGACGTTTCAAGCCATTCTGAATCGAATGAGACCAAATTTGGAAAAAGTATGTGTGTGTGTGTGAACAGATTTTTTGCCGTAAATCGACGTTTTTTCGAAAACGGTTGGGCCGAATTCAAAAATTTAAAAGCCATTCGATGTATCTCGACGAGGACTATTGTTTGTCAGTTTTGTGCGACGATCGGCCGAGCCGTTTCCTTATAAATCGCAAAAAAGTGAAAAAAATTTCGTCCACGTTTTAGCCCGCAATTCTGAATCGATTTTGAAAATTCAAAAACCGTTCGAAAGATATTGATTGGGAATCGTGCTGATTAGTTTTTGGTAGAGATCGGCCGGGCCGTTTTCTTGTAATAAAGTTCAAAAAAAAATTTTTTGACGATTTTTATGATTATTTTTTTGACGGTAGATACCATAGTCTTCTAGATCATACTAAAATATTACGGTTCTACGACAACTGGTTCAGCTTTAAAAATTCGTCAAAGTTTGCAAAAATTGGTATCGTTTTTTTTGGCATTTGTCAAAATTAGACTTTTGATCGACGTTTTTTTCAAAAACGTCTGAACCTATTTCAGGAATTTATAAGCCATTCGATGTATCTCAATGAGCACTATAGTTTGTCAGTTTTGTGAGATGATCTGCCGAGCCGTTTCTTTGTAATTTGCAAAAGAGTGTTAAACTTTTCGTCCACATTTAAGCTCATTCTACCGAATCGATTTTAAAAAATCAAAAACTGTTTGAAAGATATTAGTTCGGACTAAAACTGATAAGTTTTAGGTGAAAATCTACCGAGCCATTCTCTTGTAATTAACTGTTGAAAAAAAAATTAAGCCGATTTTTATGAAACTTTCTTTGGCGATGTATATCATGGTCTTATAGAACTTACTGTAATATTGCGGCCTTACGACAAGTAATTTAATTTTAAAAATTCATCAAAGTTTGAGAAAACGAGTAGTTTTTTTGACGTTTGTTTAAATTAAAATTAGACAATTTACCTAATATAACGATAGAGCAATCTTAATGAACATACTAAACCATTAAAGTCCTATGGAAACTGGTTCAATTATAAAAAATTATTGATTTTTGAAAATTTGCTTTTAGAAAATACTCCAGTTAACAAGTTTGTTCATTTTTAATTATGTGTAATAAATCCACTCGAAATACTTTTAATCACTCATAAATTAATTTTCTTTATTGATTAAGTCGATTATTTATACATATCGGAAAAATCATGTAACTTGCCTCAAGGCAAAATACCAATACCAACTAGTTTACTAAAGCTTACGGCTTTACTATTTTGGAAACAATATTTAATTTTTGCATATAGTAACAGATCTATATGCAAAAACTTACAAGTATGCGGGAACAAATTTATGCCTACACTGACTTAATTTTAGTTTATAAATATTTTTACACCTTATTTTATTTTATCTGCGCAAAATGATATATTAAAGCACTAAACTATATATATTAAAAACACTACACATTTCTAAAATTTATAACAATTATATTATAAATTTGGTTGTTAAGTTGACATCACTATCACTATCTTTTTAAATGTTTATATACAAACTGCGAGTCAGTTACTGTCGAATAGACTTCAGAAAAATATATCCGAGCAATTGAGAATGAATTAATTAAATAACTAGCTAGTATTCAGATGATAAATAGACTTGACCATGAGCAATTTGTGAGTTGGAATTCAAATTTTAGCGATGTCATGCTATCATCATAGAAACAAATACAACTATGAAACACAGCTATACTAGTGATACAATACCGATAAAATGAGAAAATAAAAATATTCTTATGAGGTTCTTATGGTTAGTCCGTGGCCTTGATGTATAAGCTGTGGCCTTGCAGCCACAAGTATCCAGGTTCTATATCCGCATCGGACAGCCTGATAGAAGCAGCAGTGATATTAGGTTTTGGACGATTCTTGGAAGGCACAGAAGAATGTGATTCAACAAAGAATCCGATTTGATGATTGAAAAAACATTCAATTTGTAATGATGAGTAGCGATTAGTTTGTGGCAAAGTTGGGCCCAGTCGTTCAAAGATAAGGAGCTAAAAATGTAAAAAATAGCAGTTTTTGAGAGAACTAAGCATCCAATTCGAATGATTCTAAACCGCAAAGAAACGATTGGTTCAGGAAGGTAAAAACGTTCTTTTCAAAAATTAAAAAAAATGCATGTCTTTTATATATGAAAAAAAAATCGAATTTTAATCTTAATTCTAGCTAGAATTTTAAAACTCTTGTACTTAATATAAATGTAACTTAATATAAATAATTTTAACTTTGCAATTCGAGTCAGGAACGAGCGTTCGAACGATAAAGACCTCAGTGTTGAATAGTGAGTAATCCGTAGCAGGTAGTTGAAATAGTGATACAATGGATAGTGGACCCTACGGAGAGGGTCCCGACGATGACCGTAAACAAATACAATTAGGTCCGTGCATAGGAAACGCATTGCGTATATGTTATGGAGAAGATATGGAAACTGAAACAAACGCTAATTTAAATAAATTAAATAGTGATGTTACACCTAAAGGAACAATCAATTCAGTGCAAGAAAGTGACGCTGTATCAAACAGCAAGCCAATGAAAACAATAACAAATCTAGAAACAACTCGAGGGAAAAACAGTGCTAGTGAAAATCTCACAGGGGACAAACCTTCCCAAGAAACTAATAATAATAATGAGGTAATTAATATTAATGAAAATTTAGAAACCAACGATAAGATTAATGAGAATACATATGAAAAAAATAATCAATCGAGAAATACTAAAGTATTTAAAACAGTGTCATACACAGAAAAAGACATAGGACCATTTTTAATTTATGTGGAATCGATGAACAAAAACATAGGCAAACTACACCACATGGCATTAGGAAGAAAGATATTTAACAAGCACCCAGAGATGGACAAATATATTAAGGAAATTAAAGCTATTGGAATTAACAAAATCAAAATTGAATGTTATGACTACAAATTCACAAATAAGTTGGTAGTGGACCATATATTCTCAGAGATCGGCGCAAGGGCATATATACCACTATCTACTGTAATAAAAAAGGGAGTAATATACGACGTAGACACCGAGCTATCAGAAGAACATATTTTGAAACATATAAAATCTGAAGTGGAAATATTAGAAGTCAAACGAATTCTTAAAAAACAAAACAACGATTATGTAAAACGCCCGTATGCGTTCTAACTTTCAGAGGCCAAAGGTTACCTGAGAAAGTAACAATACATGCGGTGAAGTGTCGGGTGAGTCAATACAACAAAATAATCCAATGCTATAACTGTTATGTTATGGTCACGTGACCACACAGTGCCGAAGTAGTGTCAGGTGCGGACATTGTTCGTGTAACCACAACTACAAGGAGTGCGATAACAGGGAGGAAGAACCCAAATGTGCATTATGCGGCAATGGATATCAGGCAATTAACAAAAATTGCGAAGTCTACAAAAAACAAATTAAATTAAAGGAAATAATGGAATTTAATAATGCAAGTTATAATGAAGCAAAAAGGATTTTGGAGAATCGACCCTACGCAAATATAATTACAACTTGACTAGACTTACAAAACAAAAAAGTTTTTCCCGATATTCAAGATCACCAACAACGCACAAGAGATAAAGAACCAGAAAATACGGAAGTGAATCAGCCCAAGAAACGGAGACTACACAATACTAGCGTTGAGACACCAACCACAGACAACAGCATTAAAAACTCTAATAATAACAATAAAATAGAAAACGATGCACGAAAAGCGTCACCTAATATAAATAAAATACCATTTAAAAAAAATGAAAACGCAAATACGAAAATGACAAAAGAGGACAACAGAGATAAAACGAAAGAGAAGGAGACGACGAATATACAGAAAAGAGGATTACAACCAAATCCAAGCACATCAGAGCAAATATCTCTGAACCACATAATCAAAGACTAAAGGATGTTTTTAACCCTACCAACCAAAAAAATAATCAAGTGCTAATGGCCATAATTAATCGGATGGAAAGAGATCAGATAAACCTAACAAATCCGAAATGACAAGAATGACACAGGAATTGAAAATATTGCAATACAATTGTAGATCAGTGTTTGCCAACAAAGGCTGCATTGAACATTTTCTATACGAGAAAAAGATTCAAATAGCGGCCTTCTCAGAAACATGGTTAAAAGGTGGTAACAACTGCACTTTCAGAGGTTACAAGATCTTCCGCAACGATAGAAATGATGGATATGGAGGTACGGCTATAATAGTCAAGGATAATATCACGGTACTCAATACAGAGAATATTAATATAGGCACAATAGATGTAAACAAGTGCCAAATCAAAAGAATAACATTTATGTTCTGTAACACCAAATTGACCATTATATCCATTTATGTTGCACCTAACAGCAATATCTTAGTAAGTCAATGGAATCATATATTGTCACAGTTCCAAAACCCATTCATTTTGTGCGGTGATTTTAACGCCCACCATTATGCATGGGGAGGTAAATGGAATAGCAGAATGGGAAATAATTTACTAGAATCCGTAGAGTCCAATGACTTGTTTATACTCAATGATGGAAATCCAACTCTGAGATCTAAAAACAATTTTACAGCAGTTGATATATCATTTTGCTCTCAGGACATAGCGCACAAAATAGATTGGAGTGTAATCGATGAGTCTCTGGGCTCAGATCATCACCCCATAATTCTAACTCTGAAACAAAAAGAAGTTCCTCAACTCAAAAATAACGATCTTGGATGGAACCTCAATAAAGCAGACTGGCAAAAGTATCAAATACATCTAGACGATGAACTAAATGGATTTTGTGTAAGTGACCCCGTAAAAGCGTACACAGATTTTATACGGATAATTAACTCAGCGGCAGAAAAAAGCATTCCAAAAAGGAAAAAATTGATTAATACTAGGTTCATTAAACCAGTGTGGTGGGATGACGAATGCAATCAGCTAATAAAGGAACGGAAAGAGAGTGAAAAAGCTTATAGACACGAATCCAACTATAACAACTATTTAACGTGTGAGAATATAAACAAGAAAATCAAAAACATTTTCAGGAAGAAGAAAAAAGACAGTTGGAAGGAATACGTCAACAAATTGAATCCAAATACTTCAGTCAAAGAAGTATTTGGAATGATCAGACGTCTCAAGAAACACACGAACGGGACCGACACATATAGTAATATCCCTGAAGAAATTAGTGAGGAAATCATAGACTATCTATCACCACCGGGTGCCAAAAATGGCTTTGGCAATAGAAATAAAACTGTCCTGGAAAGAGAAACAAACAATCTGATGGAACCATTCTCATTGTGGGAACTGGAAATAGCTATCAAGAGAAGCAACAACACAGCTCTTGGAAAAGACGGCATATCATATTCAATGATTGCAAATTTGACACCACAAGCTAAAAGTATACTGGTAGATATAATTAACAAAGTTTGGCTTAATCCAGAAGTAATAGAAGGGGGCAACAAATGATAATACTTATCAGAAAAATGAATAAACACCCAAATTTAGTTTCATCTTATAGACCCATATCTTTGGCTTCCTGCATTGCAAAAGTCAAAGATAGAATGATCAAGAGAAGATTAGAATGGTGGGTAGAAAAGTATGACATACTTCCCAAATCCCAATGTGGATTTAGAAAGGGCATGGGAACATATGACAACTTACCAATTTTTATAACAGATCTATATCTATCAATGGCAAAAAACAACTATGTCGTTGCTTTATTTAGCGATATTAAAGGTGCGTACGATAACGTCCTACCAGAGGTGCTCACCCTACCACAGCCCTGAATTTGTATAAAACAATAATTAGACCATCACGGGAGTATGGAAGTCTAGCATTCAATAACTCTTCTCACTGCAGAAAGCTAGAAAAAATTCAATATAAGTGTTTGAGACTGTGCATAGGGGCAATGATCTCCACACCTACAAACGCCTTGTTGGTGGAAGGTGGAGAAATGCCTTTACATTCAAGATTCCAATATTTAAGTGATAAATTTGTACTTAAAAAATACCAAGTACAAAATAATAGAACAATCGAAAATATCAAGAATGTAGCCATAGATACATTAACAAGTGACTATTGGAGAAATCGACCAAAACCAAGCTTGGTATATAGCTATCTAAAGATAATTGAAACAAGAGGAGATACAAATAAATACAATTAACACCCGTATTATAGCTTTTTCACATTAGACAACAGTTATAACATAGAAAAAATATTCAATACGAATACAATCAACATAAACGATTATAAAGTTATATATACAGACGGGTCAAAAATTAGTAACAAAACTGGCTGCGCTTTATTTTATGAAAACGATAATATCAAAATAGGATATAAACTACCAGAGTTCGTTTCAGTTTGGTCATCTGAGCTAATAGCTATTAAAAAAGCAATTGAATATATCGAAAGTCACAAAGTCACTAAGGTGGTCATCGTTACCGACAGCAAAAGCTGCATAGATAAATTGAAAAATCTATTCCTTACTAATCGATTAAGCGAGACATTAGTATACGAAGTGTGGAACAGACTTATACAGCTATTGGAGAACGGATATATAGTTAAAATATTATGGACTAGATCGCACTCCGGTTCTAGTGGAAACGAAGAAGCGGACTCAATAGCAAAATGGGCTACAGAATATGGTACGAGGATCAACCTAGCGACTAGAAAAGATTATATGAATAATTTAAAGAAAAAAATATTGGACGAATGGAAAGAGCAATGGGACAGATCGTCGGAGACGAAGGGACGATACTACAAGGTAGTCAACCCCAAACTAAAGATGAAACCCTGGTTTCGGAAATATCCAGATGCAAACAGAGGTACTATCGTAGCAATAACGAGGCTGAGATTTAACCATGGAAACTTCCCTGCACACCTGAAAAGGCTGGTAATAATAGTGACAGATTTATGTCCTTGTGGAGCATCAAGCGGAACATCGGAACACATCATACTAGAATGTAGTATACGAGATTTGAGGCAAGCAGGGCAAAATTGTTAGAGGAACTACACTCTATAAAAACACTGATCAAACCCTTTAATTTGACAATATTATTGCAAAATTTGACTTGTTATCCTTACATAATTAGGTTTGTTAACGACAGTAAAATTAAGATATAAGAGATTAATATAACACATATGTTACCTATATATTGTATATTATGTATTCTAACCCCGCTTGATCCAGTTTTGTTCATTTGCATTTTCTTCAAACATTTATAGACGTCGTCGTCCAATTTATAAGCTCTTATATTTTGTTTATAAAATACGAATATTGAAAGTTACAGTATTCATAATAATATATTTAAAATCCTAGAAATTTCATTACAGCACGGGAAGTTCTAGCAATTTGCCTTGAGGCACGATCCATCACTACCCCAGTAGAAATGAAGTGTGGCCAGAGGGGTAAAAAATCGTGGCGCAATATTCAAATCTGCTTTTCAGATGAACCGGTCAATATTTGTTTTCAAAATTATGGAAAATTTAGAAAATTCATGGGAGAACTGTTTTATATGGTTTATTGCAAATGATGAATAACTAAATACAAGAAATGAATAAAAACATGTTTCTCATCTGATTTACACGTCTAATTTTATATTAACACGAATTATTATATTTTTAAATGAGGGCATTATGGAAGAATTTGCTGAGCTGATCAAGATTCGTTTCTTTAATGTCATCGAATTTGGGAAATACAAATGTCGCAATAGATAATAAGCAGCATTTTTCATTTGGTATATTGTTTAAAAATAAAAATCTTCAATATATTCAAAGAAGAAAACCATTTTAAGTATGAAAAATGCATCACTTTGATCAAAAATTCCAAAATTAACAATATTATTTCATTTGGGATATTTTTCAGGAATAAAAATCATTTATTTTAAATTATATTCAAAGCAGGAAAATACTTTAAGTTTGAAGGAACAAATACACAATTTATGTTAAAAAGCCAATCTAATATTTAATGAAAACACAATAGTTGAGAGCATTATTTTTATTAAAAATATTAAAATTGATAATTAGCAGCAGTTTTATTTGGAATAGTTTTCAGGAATAAAAATATTTTTTTTGAATTTTGATGAGACTTTAAATGAACGTAAAAAGTTGACTGCATGTTGATTATTAATAGCATTATTTTTACTAAAAAAAATTTTGAACATTTTATTACAAATTATTTCGTTACGAAGTAAATAATACATTTTTTCTCAAAAATCAAATTGTAGTCTGAATTTTAAAATTCGAGAAAAAAGATCTCCTAAAAAGCTCAGAAAGCAGAAGTAGTTTTATTAATACAGCAAACACGAATTAATATAAATGTTTACATGCATACATTGTTGTATATGATTTAGAAATGATTTTGTTAATGATTATTTCTTGTTTATTGTAAAGTATTTTTCAGATAAAAAACTTATTCAATTTTGAATATTAGTATGAAATATAACAAAGTATTTAATAATTAGATCGATAGATCAATTAATAGATTTATTAAAATAAAAATAATACATGATATGATATAAATGACATCATGGATTCTTGTTAATGACTAAATATTATTAATATTTATTAAATGACAGACTAAAACGTAGAAAAGCTCATCGTCAGATTTTTAATTGAAATAACAGGCTAATGAAAATAAATTAATTATAAGTCAATAAATCGTAAATGTACTAAAATATCATATAAATGTTTTGATTTAAAATTAAATCAGTTGCACTAACCAGAATAAAAAAAATTAAGAAATATTAAATGAATTTATTGGCAAATTTCTAATTATAAGAGAGAGTTTGATCATTTCTAATTTGTAATATTTTAATAAATGTTCAATATTTTTATTTCAGCTGCATTGTAAGAATTAAAAGCTATAATATTATATTATATTGCAAACATTAACATATTGGTATAATTTCAGACTGAC